AGCAGCAAATTTCTCCACTGTGCTGGCGGGTTACACTGCCTTCAGCTGACCCCCGGGCAGCAGCTGCCACTCTCTGCTCTGCCTTGCAGCTGGGACAAATACCCAGTTTCAGTAAAAAAGTAGGGATGGCTGGGACAGAGTTGAAAAAGGGGACTGCCCCGGCCAAAATGGGACATATGGTCACCCTATACAGTGGGGTAGCTACAGCTGCAAAGCCCCCTCTACAGGACAGTGCTACAGCGGGGTAGCCACAGCTGTAGCATGTGTAGTGTACCCATAGCCCCATACATCCACACTCATAGCAGCTAGCAGGCTGGGGTAGGGGCAGTTTTACGTTCGCTATGAGCCCAACAGTCAGGAGATGGAAGAAAAAAAAAAACCCTTCTCCTTCCCAGTAGCCAGAGGGGCAGGGGTGGGGCTTCAAGCTTGTCAGACATCTACTTGCCAGGGGCAGATTTGAAGGACCCCCATCAAGCGTGGGGGTGGGGCTGGGCTTGGCAGGAGGAACCATCCCCTCCCTCTCTCCAATCTTCAATCCAGGCCTCTGGTAAAGCTTTTAACCCTTGTGCAGGCTCTGGGGCTCAGATGTTAGCTACAGGCAGGGTGTGCAAATAGTTTTGCTCTACCTGCAGATATTTACCATGCAGGTGGCAATGAAATTACTTCTTGGCTGCCCAACACTAAGCACGCAAAGCCAGGTCAGATGGGAGATGTCCAGCAAACCCTGAGGCACTTCAAGCAGTAGTGCGAGCAATTCACGAAGGAATGCCCTCAGGGGCGGTAGTGACTCAAGGCCCCAGTGGGGTGGTGGATACCAGGCTGCACAAGGTGCTGATGTAAGCAGCCCTGGTGATTAAAATCTTATCACACTCCCCACCCCAACCAGGGATGTTGGCCAATTCCAATTCACAGGGCTAGGTAAAGTGATGCTTGAATCCAGTCTAAACACCACTTTGAGATCCTTCAGGACAGATGGGGCTGGAGAAAGATTTAAGTGGATTTTTATAGAAGGCTCTAACGTGCTCACCCTGGTAGAGGAGAGCAGTCCTTATTCCCACCCCAGCACCTTGGAGGGCCCAGGGCACAGAATCCCTCCATCACACACAGTGGCACTTTACCGCCTTGGTACCCACAAGCAGCCAGACTGAGCAGCGTTACACAAGGAGCAGGCTGGAGCGGCCTCGGAGCTCCAACACTCCTGCACTGTCCAAAAGTCAGATGGGGCAGGAGGTGCACATGGCCCCTCTGGCTGTGTGGGCGATGCCCTTGATGCTCCACTCACCCAAACTAGGGAGGACAGAGAGGTTGTTTTCCACTTCCCTCCTGGCGCAAGGCACTGCAGGGCTGGACTGACCACACATCCCCTGAGCTTACACCTCACTGATCCATGCACTTAGAACAATAAATATTTTGTTAAAGCTCAGATTAGTCCCCGAAGGGGGAGGGAACCCAGGAGACATGTTATGGACCAACCGCCATTCAGGGAGCTGCTGTGTGTAGCCTGTGATTCTGGGTAGAGTGTCAACCTAGGGCATGCAAGGCAATGTACGATGGGCTACAAGGGGCTTAGGGTTAGCAGCTGCAAGTGCTACTTATAGGTCACTAGCTCAGTGTGTGTGTAACCCAGTTTAGGTAAGGAAACATGGTGCCATCTCCCAGTTTGGGGAAGGGGAATTAGGGGCTGGCAGCAGGAGGGCTTTGCCAGCAGCTCAGGATGCCCCAAAATTGAGCCGAACAAGGGAACGTGAATGATGTCTGCTCAACGCTCTACCCGCCAAACAGCAGAGCGGTGCTGAGTGAGCACCGAGACTCAGAGTTGGCCTCCTGCCCCTGCAGTTTCCTGACGGGCAACAGCCACCAACCAAAAGAACAAAGGAGTCGCCCTCCCGCTACTTTACCGAATTCTTGGGGCTCTGCTCAGCCAGCTGGGCCTCAGAGGGAATATCAGGAAGAGATGGCCTCAGTACATAAGGGTTATTACTGAGTGAGAGAGGAGGAGAGTTCAGATGGGGCAGCGGTTGGCAGTGAACCCCTCATCTGTAGTTCCAAAGAAGGGATAACATGGGGGAATCTCTCTCCTAAGTGAGGGGAAATTCTGGCCCTGGCAGTAGCTCAGTGAGGAGGAGGGGTCTCTCCCTGGGACAGGGCTGAGCCAATTATGGTACCAAGCCCTTATCTAGCAATTTCATCAGTAGATCTCAAAGTGCTTTACAAAGGTGGTCAGTATCATTACCCACATTTTACTGATGGGGGAAACAAATGGGAAGTGATTTGCCCAAGGTGGCCCAGCAGAGCTGGGTATAGAACCTAGGTCTCCTGAGTCCCAGTCCAGTGCTCTATCCACTAGGCAACACTGCTCTGCTTGTAGCTGGAATAGCTCAGCAACCTGTCACTCTGGGTTTGGATGGGGGAGTGTGGCAGTCCCAGGGAATTAGTGGAGTGACTGGCCCTGGTCACACCCATATCTATAACAGACCAGCAGCACATTGTGCTGGGTGGGGATACGGAAGGGTTTGCCTCTCCCTTGGGGGGGAATGAGGGGGGTTGGGGAGTGACTTCCCATGTCCAAATACCTATAGTAGATGAGGAGTCTGGTGCTCTGCTTGCTCCTGTGTTTGTAGTAGCTAATGAACCCACTGGACTGGATGGGTGTCTCCCTCCGCAGATGCTCAGGAGGTAGGGTCATGGTATCTCTATTAGCTAGAAGCTCTTTGTCTAGAAGAGGGGATGGGAGCAGATCTCCCCCACAGGAGCAGATCTCCCCCACAGGAGCCTCAGTGAGGTTTTCCAGTGCCAGTGTTAGCTGAAAAGCCTGTAGCTACCAAGGGATGGGGATGGGATGGAATCTCCTGGAAGAGGATCTATTTGCTGGAATTTGTAACAAGGATAGAGGGGGTTTCAGGTTAGGTATCCCAGTAGCTGATGAGCCCACTGCTCTGGTGGGTAAGGATAGGAACTGCCAGACTGGAGCAGGTTCAAGGTCCATCTAGTCCCATACTCTGTCTCAGCCAGTGGCCAGCACACAGGAAGATGCAAGAACGCTGCCATGGCAGGAGAGGGATAATCTGTCTCTTACCTTAGGCCTCCTTTCGTCCTAATAAATTTCAGGCTTAAGCCAATCTTTAATATCCCTTCCAAAAATCTTTAATTAATCTGGATGTTCTTAACCTCCATATAGCTGTCCAATCCCTTTTTGAATCTTGCTAAATTCTGAACCTCGATGACTTCATGTGGCAGTGAGTTCCACAGGCTAATACCACACTGGTGTGAAAAAAGTATTGCCTTTGAATGTCCTTTGGTCTAGGGAGGAAGTAGTTCTTCACACAGCGCACAGTCAACTTGTGGAACTCCTTGCCTGAGGAGGTTGTGAAGGCGAGGACTATAACAGCGTTTAAAAGAGAACTGGATAAATTCATGGAGATTAAGTCCATTAATGGCTATTAGCCAGGATGGGTAAGAAATGGTGTCCCTAGACTCTGTTTGTCAGAGGGTGGAGGTAGATGGCAGGAGAGAGATCACTTGATCATTACCTGTTAGGTTCACTCCCTCTGGGGCACCTGCATTGGCCACTGTCGGTAGACAGGATACTGGGCTAGATGGACCTTTGGTCTGACCCAGTACGGCCGTTCTTATGTTTTCCCTTTCTCAAAACCAGTCATTATTTTACAGACTTTTACCACGACCCTTCTCATTCATCTTCTTTCTAAAGTAGCAATCCCAGTCTTTTTAATCTCTCTGCTTGGGAGAGTTATCCAGGCCTTTGATCATTTTCATCATCTTTCTCTGAACTCCCTCTAGTTCTGCTATTCTCTCTCTCTACAGGGGTCTTGCTATACAGGAAGATCCCTGATATTTACAACCATGGAACCTGTTGCTCTTGGGAAACTCTCTCTGTAGGGGTGGCCACCAGTGACTGTAACTGAGGAGCTCATTGCAAAGGTGGGGGGGGACATGACTGGTGTCTCTTCCTAAGGGAAGGCACCGGTAGCAGCTGAGAAACCCACTGTTCAGGGCATAAGCAAGGGTGTTCTCTCTCTTTCCCTAGGGGTTTTGAATCTTCATCACATGTGGGGGCAGGGACCCTGCTACTGAAGGAGTCTGTTGGTCTACATACTTACCTGGCCCATCTTCACCACACCCTTGCAAGGCAGGGTAATATTATTTGCAGTTTATAGATGAGGCACAGAACATTTGGCTTTCCCAAGATCACACACGGAGTCTGTAGTATGGCAGGGAATTGAATGACCCAATCCAGTCCTTTAACTACAAGAACATCCTTCCTTGTGAGGGGCAGAAGGGGAGTAGTCACTATCTGAGTTAATGTATAAATCTTTTGATGCAAGGACAGGAGCTGAGCAGCCCAATGCTGCTTTGGGAGAAGGTGAAATGGGCTCTTCCCAGCGGGTTCTAGACAGGAAGGGGGTTACAGAGCAAGAGTTACAGTACTCGAGGAACCCATTGCTCTGGGTGGGAAAAGGAACCTCTTCATTGGGACATCCCAGACCCAGAGATGTGTCAGTGTGAGGGAAGGGCTGGGATCTATAATAGCTGCAGGGCTAAATCACTCTCCCTAGGGTGGGGTCCCAGTGGGAGGCAGTCCCCAGCACAGTGGGTGCCATGACCTGTAGTATCTCGGGGGACGGGGGCCATGACACAGTGGAGAGGAGCCTGTCTTGCTCAGAAGGGGAAAGAGGGGCTTCCTTGAAGCAGTTTAGGACTCTACTGCTCTAGGGGGAAGGGTCTCACCCATAGCTCAGGGGATGGGATCTACCACTGGGGGTGGGGCAGGGACTCAATAGGCAGGACCTATCTCCAGGGGGGTGTAGGAGGTCAGCACCCATTGCTCTGGGGAAGGTCAGCTCACAAAGCATGAATGATTTCAGGGTCTCAGCCCATTGCTATGGGACAGGAGAGCTGGGGCCCAGCCCGGGGGCGGGGGCTCACCTGTAGCAGCGCCGCAGCCAATTGTTATGGGGCAGGGCTGGGGGGCGGGGTCTCACCTGTAGTAACTCAGCAGTCCGTTGCTCAGCACGAACCAGCGCCGCTGATACCCTTTGATGTAATTGGTCCATTTGAAGAGCCAGCCCTCGCGGGCCGACCCGGAAGCGGAGCTGCCCGACCCGGAAGTGGCTGTCACGCCGCCCGGGCCCGCTCCAACGGGGCATCCGGGCCCGCTGCCGCCGCTCGGTGCCGGCGAGGGGAGCGGGGTGCTGGGGCCGGGCCCGGAGCCTCCGCCGCCTCCCGCGGCCGGTGCCGCGGGTCCGGGCGCCGCCGCTAGGCCTGGCCCAGGCCCAGGCCCGGGCCCCGGCCCCGCCGCCCGCAGCTCCGACATCTCGCGCCGCGTCCGAGAGCTCGTCGCGCCGGAGCCCAAGTGCCCTGCCCCCTCCTCCCTCCGTGCGCTGCGCCGTCACCCGCCCCGCGCGCTACCCATTGGCAGCGCCACCCCTCTCCGGGGGCAGGAGTCCCGCCCACCAGCGCCGCGGCCCCGCCCGTGCGCTCCCATTGGCCTAGCGACCGCTGCTGGGCGGGTCCTGGCATCCTATTGGCTGGCGTTAGCCGTCACTGCCATCCCATTGGCATCGTAGTTCCCCCTTCCCATTGGCTGTTTTGCCTGTTTGTCGCTATCTGCATCCAATGGGGAGATATGGGCGGGGATAAAGTAACGTCACCATAGAGCCGAGAAGTTATTGGTTGCGGGCGGTGCTGATGAGGCAACGCCACACGCTGAGAGGTGATTCATTCTGCGTCTGATTGGCTGGGTAGGCGACAGTGGGCGGGGTCTCCGCCAGCTTAATGTTAGGATTGGCTGACTACACAGGAAGCAGCAGGACTCATGGACGTGTCCAAGCCAGGGTCTCGGTGACCTCTGACCCGTGACCCTGAGTTACTCTCATCCTGGGATGCCAATCTCTGATCCTTGACCTGTCCCCAGGGCCAGGACCCCAGCATGCCCCACCGGTGTCCCCATCTGCTAGGTCTGGACCCTTTGAGGCCCCAAGTCACAGCTGGGCAAATGGGCCCAGGATGGCAATGGACTCTGCCAATGTCAGATGGCTGTCTGTGGCAGAGCCGGGAACGGATCCCCAGTGTCCCAATCAAATCCCCTCAGACACCCAGGCTCCTAAACCTCCATCTGAAAAGGATGGCATAAGAGTGGATTAAAGCCAGGCTGCTCCCCCAACCCTGCATGGATTTGTCCCACCAAGCTGTTCCACATCAGGGGAAATCCACACAGACCCTGGCCAAACAGTTGACCATAAATTAGAGGCAGAAAGTAGGAGACATGCAGGGCCAGGAAAAGAGAGCATGACATGAGGGTATATTCTGCTTGTCACGACCAAAATATGAGGAAGTTCAAGATAAGGATTTCCCTATCAGCAGTGAGAAAAGACTGTCCACTGAAGAGCAATGAGGGGGGAAAATGCATAATTGTGTAGAAAAGGTGGCAAATGCACCATCATGTAACGCTTCACCTTACCGCCCAGTCAGGATTGGACAATGACTAATGGATGCAGAAAATAATAATATAGGGCTTTTTATCAATAGATGTCAAAGCACCTCAAAATCTTTAATGTATTTCTCCTGCAAACAGCCCTGAGAGGTAGGGCAGTGCTATTATCTCTGTTTTTTGCATATTGGGAACTGAGGCACAGAGACTTGCCCAAGATCACAGAGGAAGTCAGCATCACATGTCAACATATACAAAGTAAATATCCTTAAATCACACTCTAAGAAGTTCTCAAGCAGCATTTTGCTTACTTTGCCTATCTGTACATTTTGATTATTATTGATGGTAATGTTTCATCAGTTTGTCTGTGTAACAGTGAAATCAATGTTTACTGACATTTCCTGATAAAAATCTTATCCTTCCAAGCCTCCTTTAAGATCAAACCCCAAATACACCATGAAGCCCCCTCCCATTCAGATGCCATGCAGGCTCGGACATCACACACTCTCAACTGAGAAGATGGGATTAGAAACAGCAGAAGAGAATTGTGTGTGGTTAGATGACGCTGATACCAGATCACGGCATTGTTAACACAAATAATGAAGGATTTGGTGTATTGTACATATTGGCATTGCATCTTTAAAGTGCACCTTGATTTCTTCAGACAATCACCACTTGATCTGCAGCAACTGTGAGTTGTTACTGAGTCAGAGAGGCCCAGATCCTGACAGGTATTTAGGCATCTCACACCCACTGAAATCAGTGGGAGTTAGGCACCTCAGTACCTTTGAGGATCTTAGCCCAAGCCAATAACTAGGTGATTGCCTAATTAATTACATACACTGGATGCTCTCACTACCTTGCTCACTTTTAGAATTGTGCTTTTCTTTGTGAGCCGCTGGGGTACCAGCAGATACTCTCAAAGGGTGCATTGCCTCATTTTAATTAGATGTATAGAATAAGTATTTATTTAAAGCAGCTTCCCATCTGTGCACATTTGATATTATGCTTTACTCCAGGTATCATTTGTTCATGTAGCATTTATTCAGGTGTACCCTGCCCCACTGGAGTGGAGATGGAAATTGTTGCTGCTAGGGTAAGCTCCCTGGTTGAGTTTGAATCCCCCTTAGTTTGATAGGCTGGGCCCAGATGAGGCTAGACATCCCACTCCCTCCTCCAGTTGGCTCCATCTTGAGGTTGCATTGGGTTCTCAGCCAGACTAGGCTCCTTGTCAAGGCTTGACCAGCCTTAATGTGAATTGGGGTGAGGTCTAGAGGAGGAACAAGCCTTCTTTGGCGGCACTGTCTGAAGCCTGGATCCTCCTTTCCAAGGCTGCAGTAACACCACTGCCACTGATAATTTTTGATTGAAAGCCATCCCGTCTGGGTTCAAATAACTGGTTCTCATCTCCTCTAGAAACAAATAGCCACCCTTCTTCTTTCTGGCTTCTTTTGCTAGTAACAGCTCTTGGACATCTCCTAGCCTCCCTTCTCAATGTTGCTATTCCTTCTTTGTCTCCTTCCAGGGGACACAGCAGCAGCCAGACACTCATGAGAATCATCTCCCAAAAAAACCTTCACTCTCCCGCCATCTCCCCTAGGCTAGTATTGGTGTCTATCTCCTTTTGCCACCCAATCTGCCTCCTTCTCAGGCCCACGGGCTAGAGGAGCGAAGGGCTTTTTCCAAGGCCCAACCATCACTTCCTAGAGCAGTGGTTCCCATACTGATCCTTGCTGCCTTTTTTCAAACCAAGCACACCCAGCCCTCCAACTCTGTATTGTTAACAGTCTACCCGTATTTTAATTAAAGGGAATTAAATTGTGTTTTAAAACATGCCTTTACACATTGATGTTCAAAAATGGTGGATATTCAATAGGTGACATTAAGAAATGTTTGAATACAAGTTATTGCATCATTTGAAACTGAAATACATCATAGCCTATACTAGAATTCCTTTGCAACAACTATTACAAATATCACACATGTTGCAACATTAATATTTTCCTCTAACAAAACATCTTGCATCCATGGATCCTTGGACCTGGCATCCTCTGAGTGGGAGTCAGATGCCTTGCTATGCTCCCTGGACTTCACTTCTTTTTGATTGTAGGAAGGAGCGGTGGTATCTCCTGAGACTACCCATTTCTAGCACCAGCATGAGCAGTCACTCCCAAGTATAATGTGGATTTTCTTAACTTGGGGTCTCTCTCTATTTCAATAGCATCACTCTCCATTGAAGGCAGCTTGCTGCTGGATTGCTAAAATGAGCCATTGCCTCCTTATTCACCTGGAGTCCTTGCGGCTAACCCTGGCCTCGAGAAAAGGCTGCTTCCATCTACAGGAGCTGCCCAGGAGACCGCACACCCCTGGAAAGAAACCACTCCAACTGGTTCAGAACACAGCAGCTGACGTACTCAACAATGCAGGGTGGCAGTGCCACCTGTCCCCAGTGATGTGATCTTTTCAGCTCTTGCTATGCCAGTATGTACCCGTATCACGCACCAATGGCAGCTTAGCTGAGATCTGATTATACATGTAGCTCTGGGTGCTGAACAGATCAGCCCTGGCACTTTCTCAGGCTGCTCCTTTGGTAGGTAATTGATGCTTGCGCTGAGATTCCATTAGGAACAACTTCATCATCCAGCCATTCCACTTCAGCTACAGGAAGAGGGGAGAGTGCCTAACTGCACCTGCTAAAAAGGATTGTCAGCACACACATGGGAGACCTCAAAGGTTAAGCTGGCTGCTATTAAGGGTAGCAGTGTTGATGATTCAGGACATATTATTCCCTCTGAACCAGTAGCAAGAGCCCACACATCCCCTTTTTCAAATGAGACATGAAACAGAAGTGCAGAGTTCTTGGTTGTTAAAACATCCCTGGCGCTTTTCACAAAAGTTGGCAAGTTCACAAGACGGTAACAGTGGGGTCCTGGCCAGGTTCCACCTTGAAGATTTACATTGATTTTACAAGTCCTGCAATTTCCAGTGCAGATGTTCTTAACATCCTGCCATAACTTTCAGTAGTGGTGCCACACCCTGTTAAACAGCTCCCGCACTCCGCTCCCGAGACTATGATCAAGACAGAGCATAACAAAGGACCATTATGATCATCTAGTCTGCCCTCCTGCATAGTTTGGCCAGAGAATGGCATCTGGCAATTCCTGCACTGAGCCAATGTTTGGTTGAACTAGAGCATATTGTTTTAGGAAGATGTCCAATTCTGCTTCAACAAAGAGATGGAGAATTCCCCCACAGCCCTTGGCTAGTGATTCCAATGGCCGATTACCCTCATTTTTGAGGCACAAGTTTTTATTTCCAGTCACAAAATGTCTAGCTTCAAGTGCCAGATCTTGGCTAATGCTATACTTTTGATCACTAAATTAAAGAGCCCTCTATCAAAATCTTTTCTGCACCTCAGGCTTTAGAGGTAAGATATTTGCTGATATCCTGTCTGGAAGGCACTTTGGGATGATGGAGAGAGCTCAAAGAGGCACAAGACCACCAAGTGGAAGGAAGCACTCTACTCTCCCCCAAGTATACAATTCATTTTTATTTACAATACCCTATAAAAATGTAAATTTAGAAACTTTTATTTTCATCAGAACCAAAAATGAGGAGGGAGGGAAGCACAAAAAAGGAATAATATAATAAAGGAACGGTCCACTTGATCGGTTGTGAGGGAAATGGAGGGTGCGGGGTGTGTGGGTGTGTGTGTGTGTAGGGAGAGGAGTTATGGGGAGGTGGTTTTGGTTGGAGGGGAGAATACTTTGGGGAGAGAGGGATTAGGAGAAAGCAGCTGATTTAGGAGGAGGGGCAGCTGGTTAATAGGGAGGAGTTTACTGGTTGTAGAATACCTACATGTGCAAATATTTTTTGTCGTTAAAAGCAAAGAAAGATTAAAAACCCCACCACATTCCAAAAGGAGCAAAACAGCAGGATCTAGCAGTGGTTGGGTATGGAAAACTCATTCAGATTAGCAGCTCTATCCACTAGAGATCAAAGCCAGGCCCCTTGGTTATTGTCTTGGAGGGCTCTTGACAGCATGGGCCTGAACCAAGGGGCAGGTGTGAGAGAGAGGGGTGCAAAACGATTCCCAGGAAGACGAGGCAAGTGTGCAAAGGCGTGTGTTCACTGTGTCATGGGATTAGGACGGGTGACAGAGGGGAGCCCAGTTTGTGCAACTTCAGAAAGAACGAGAAGCCCATGCCGAGCTGGAACAGGAAAGCCCACCCTGTGCAGTGTGAGGGGTGGGACGAAAACTCAGTGCTTGGATATGAGAGGGGGGAGCCAACAGATTCTCACGTCTTAGCCAATGAGCAAAGATTGAAGAAAGAAACAGGGTCAGAGGGCCAATCATCTAAAAGTCACACCCTCCTAAACATTTAGGAGACATTGGGCAGCAGATGTCTCTCTAGGCCCCCAACTCCACCTTCCAGAGCACATGGGGATTCTCCCCACAACTAGCTGTCTCCCTAGCTATCTGGATTCTGCATTGACAGGGGGCAGGAAGGAGGAGAGGGTGGGTTCCTCACCAGTCCCTCAGTAGCCTGAATGTGGTGGTGGCGGGGGGAAGACAGGGGCTGTGTCGGGAGAAAGCAGCAGCTGTTGTGAAGATGCAGAGGGAAATGGGAACGCAGCAAGGACATGCCGAATTGCAACCTAGCAGCGAAGGGTGGCAGGAGAAACCAAACACACACCCATCCAAGTTCACAGAGCAAAAGAGAGGTCTCCCGTGCCAGATATCCAAGAGAAAAATCCCACAAGGCTTTGCTTCAGGGGAGCAACTGCCTCCCTTCCTCCACTGCAATCCTCTGGTGGCGGCGGCAAGGATGGCAGCCGGCATTGAGGACCCGTCAAGACCTCCTACCGTATCCCCTGCACTAACCTGGCAGGGCAGAAGAAACGAGAACAAGAAAGTTAAATAGCCGCAGTACTAGGGTGTGATGGAGATCTGTGTCCCCCCCCTTGGCTGGAGCACATGCAGACATTCAAGCCTCATCTAACAGCACTGAGTTCACTTGTCTTCATCACTGCCTGTTCAGCATTGGCAATTCCCACTTTTCTGCTCTCCTAAAACCCCTGATGGTTTAACTGTGGAGAGTGGGGCTGAACGCCTGAATCTCCCCCTCCATACCCTTCTAACTCTACGTATCTCCTGGCCACCTCTTCCCCAGCCATACTCCTTCCTCCCCACCCCCAAGCATCTCTGACCTCCACTCAGCTCCTGACAACAGACCCTGACTCCCCGTTCCTCACTTGCTCAACTCCCTGCCCCCCTCCCTGTTATTACACAAGGGAAGCAGGACAGCAAACATAGCACTAAACCAGATGAGAAACAGGGACTTACTGCAACTTTGTCTCCAGCACGTTCAGCTTCTGCTGATCAACATAGCGAGAAAAAAGGGACAGCAGATTAGAAGGGGTGGATACTGGCTTTGCCAGCACTGCTTCAGGGATCTGCAGAAGCTCTCGGGTTGTCATGGACATCAGCTCTGTCCTGCCAAGGAGAAGGACACAGACGAAGGTGTGAGCAGGTGGCGAGATGACAGAACTTCCCTGCATCAGCCCAGGTGGATGACAGAGGCACAGGAATGGGAGTTCTACTGATAGCCTAATTGGGTATTGGGTGTTTGCTATATGACTATATTGGTGTAGTTTAATAGAGAATACAAGGCAAAACAAGCAGGAAGGAAACAGAATGGCTCCAGATAAGCCATTCCTCTGCAAACAATTGAGGGTCATTAAGAGACAATATCATGACCAGGAAGAGGCCCATGCACATGGGAGATCAAAAGGACTGTAGCTATTCAGAAAGGGATTCCCTCAAGAAGGATAAGAGGGAAGGAGGGAAAGTTGCTCAGGGGAACCAGACTAAGCCGTGGTCTACACTACAGAGCGAGGTTGACACAAGGCACCTTATGTTGACCTAACTAAGTATCCACACTAAAATTTTGCTCCCGCCAACATAACTTGCCCGCTATAACAACTTAATAACTTCACCTCCATGAGCAGCATAGGGTCAATATGAATGTAGCTAGGTTGACACAGCATCAGTGTAGACACTGCCTTGCTTACATTGACTGTTGCGGGCTTTCAGGAGCCATACCACAGTTCAATCAATGCAAGTACTCCTGGTGAGGACGTTCATCGCTGACACAAGTAGCAAAGTGCAGATGCACACAAGCGATGTAATTACTGCAAGCTTTGTTCCTCCTGTTAAAATTTGCTCCTGTTATCTTTGGCTTAAGAAGGCTCTATGGTCAGTTTATTCACCTCTGGTCAGATGCCCCCAAGACAAGAAACCGCAAGTGTCCAAATCAGCTGGACCCGCTGGGTAAGCACAGTGGATACACAGTGTGCTATAGCCCAGGGGCTGGTCTAAGCATGGGAGAAGGGTGAAATTCCACCCCGAGACAGGTAAAGGCACAAGGCCTGACAGCTGAGGGGTGCACTGAGAGAGACCAGAAAGGGGCAGAGGTGCAGCCAGTCCTATGAGAAACTTTTCCCCACACAGTCACTAATGAAACCAAAGCCAAACAAAAAGTGAAAGAGGGTAAGTGTCAAGAAGCACCATCATGTGCTAGTGAAACCCTAAGCAATGGTTCCTACTGGAAAAGGCTCAAAAAGTCTCCACCAACTTGGCTGAAATGCCACTGGGAGACCGTTTGAGAGGTAGGAATCACTCAGTCAGGCTCCATGTGAGGATCCAGTAGGGCAGGGGTGGCCAACCTGAGCCTGAGAAGAAGCCAGAATTTACCAATGTACATTGCCAAAGAGCCACAGTAATATGTCAGCAGCCCCCTATCAGGTCCACCCCACTGCTCCCAGCGCCTCCCGATCAGCTGTTTCGTGGAGTGCGGGAGGCTCTGGGGGTAGGGCATGGCAGGCTCAGGGAGGGGGCGGGAAGGGGTGGAGTGGGGGCAGGGCCTGTGGCAGAACCAGAGGTTGAGCAGTGAGCACCCCCTGGCCCACTGGAAAGTTGGCGCCTGTAGCTCCAGCCCCAGCGTCGGTGCCTATACAAGGAGCCGCATATTAACTTCTGAAGAGCCGCATGTGGTTCCAGAGCCACAGGTTGGCCACCCCTGCAATAGGGTATGCAGGCCATGGTTTAGTTCCCAGAGACAGCTGGAACGGCCTATAAGAAGTCAGCTAATTAAGAATGGCTCAACAGTCAGACTCTGAAGAACTCTGGGAATCATCTGAGTCCAGATTGGTCACCACTTTGGCCACACCCAGTGCCTTAACAATTGACCAGCCAGAAGGGACCAGGAGATCGTCTAGTCTGACTTCCCGCATAACAAAAACCAAAGAATGTCACCCAGTTACCCCTGTACTGAGCTCAGTAACTTGTGTTTGACTAAAGCAACTTCCAGAAAGGCCTCCTATCTTGATTTGAAGACAGACATCAAGAGGTGGGGAATCCACCACTTCCCTGGATCGTCTGTTCCAATGATCAATCACCTGCACTGTTAAAAATTGTGCCTTAAGTTGAATTTTTCTGGCTTTAACTTCCAGCCACAGGTTCTTGTTCTGCCTTAGATGACAGATTCCTGTAGCACCCAGTATCTTCTCTCCATGAAGGTGCGGATACACTGTAATCAAGTCGTCTCTTGAACTTTTTTGGATTGAAGTAAGCAGACTGTACTCCTCGAGTGTCTCACTAACAGGCATTTTCTCCAGCCCTTTGTAGTTCTTCTCAGCACTCTCTCCAATTTTTCAACATCCTTTTTACAAATGTGGATATCAGAAGAGCTGAAAGTGTTCCACTATCTGTCTCAACAATGCCATATACAGATGGAAAAATCACCTCCCTGCTGTTTCTATATCCAAGGATCATATTAACCCGTTTTGCTCCTTCATCATACTAGAAGCTCATGTTCAGTTGTTTTCCTTCTATAACCTTAAATCCTTTTCAGCCATTTGGAGTCCCATGATTCAGCCAGAGACTGCATTCAGCAAAACTATGCACCGTCACTGTGGTGCCTCTGTGGCTCTCTGGACTCCAGTGCAGAATGTTCCCCTGGCAGCCAGGAAGTGTCCACTCCTTCAGTGGGGCTCACCTCCTCCACAACTGTAACTCCAAAGCAGGCCCAGAGAGAACCACTGAATATCAGTTCCTGGATGCACAGGAGCTTTGTAAGTAACAGACCCCCGTCAGCAAGACACCAATAAGAAACCTGGAATTACTGTAGCAGGCTGCCAGCTCACAGGGTGATCCCTCCTCCGGCTGGGGAGTTGTGGGTTCTGTTCCAATTCCTAATCCTATGCTCTGACTACTAGACCAAGCCCCATCTGCTGTCAGGAGGCCATATTACTCAGCATCTACCCTGATCCAGGGTATGCTCTACTCACCACTGGTCAACATGCATTGTCCTCAAAGGGGGGACGCAGCTAAGGGATGCAGCTGGGACTCACCACTGGTTGTCCTGCATTAGCTCCGTACCAGCATTGGAATTCTGCAATTCCTCCCCACGACTCAGGACCAAGTACAGCAGGGACAGGCCAAACTGCAGAGAGAGAAGAAGTAAGACAGCATGTGCGTGGAGGAGGGGACGACTCTGGGCCTGACCCACAGCAGGAAGACTCTTCTCTCTTCCTGGTGCTGCTATACCACCACATTTCCTACTCCTGAGTTTGGAGCCTTCACTTCCCCTTTTCTGCCCTCTGCCTTTCCCCGTGCCCATTCTGACTGCAGCCAGTATCTGCGAGGCCTACTCCAGCACAGGCACTGTTTTCAGAGGCCAACAGTCTCATTTATTATTTGTATTACCACAGCACCTGGGAGCCCTAGTCATAGACCAGGACCCCTAGATACAAGACTTAGTAACAACAAAGAGGAAAAGAGTCAGATTAAGACACAAACCATCTACCTAACATGCTTAGCCTGAGACTGTGCAAGAGCAACACTGGGCAGGATTGGAAACGTGAGGTGTTGCTTTGCTACAACTACAACATGTCTTCTCTTTCCCTTCAGCTTTCTGGATATGTGCTTCTTGGTTTCCCGTCTGTCTGTAATAGCCCCATTATACTTTTCTGGTTCCTCTGCTGTGCCAGGTTTAATCAAAGCAGACACTCCCCCTGCCCAGAAGTAGCCTATTCCCAGATTCATCAAAGATTGTAATTCAATGCAGGGACTGTACAATTCCCATAGCGCTGTTCCACCTTTGCAG